CATGGTGAAGTTGAGGTGTGATGCTGCTTGAGGAGATGGTGGTCTGCTTGGTGCTGTAGAGGAGATGCTGCTGGAGCACCCAGCTAGCAAAAGAGGGAGAGATTGCTGTGGAGGAGGTGTTGCTGCTGCTGACTGGAGTGAGGGAGAGACTAAGGCTGGAGGAGGTGTTGCTGCTGTTGGAAGAGAGGGGGAGAGAGAAGAAGGTAAAAGAGGTGCTGCTGGCTACTCTAGCCAGCTAGTGCTAGGAAGAGAAGAGGTGCTAGACTGCCATAGCCAGCTAGCACTGAGGTGGGAAGTGAAGCAGTGAAAGGGGGAAGCACTGTTGGAGTGCAGGGAAAAAAAAAAGGGGTGAAGAGGGGAAATGTTGCTGGCTGCCATAGCCAGGTGCTCCAAGTGCTGCTGGCAGCCGGAATAACAAATTTAAAGAGGGAAAGGACAACGGTAGCTACCTTTCTCAAGGTGAGAGAAGACTGCGACTGCAGCCATATTTTTTTCAGAGTTGAAGGAGAAGTTGCCATAGCTTGTTGCAGCAAAGGTGGAGATTGGCTGCAGCAAGAGTGAAGAGAAAAGTGTTTATTAAGAGGGGGAGATTGAAATCAGATTGGGAAGGAAGAAGGAGAAACTTTAATTTGGATTTGAGAGGTGAAGGTTGGAGAAAGTGTAGCAACTGTTGAAGAAGAAGGAGGGGTAGCAGCCATAGCCACCAGTTGTGAAGGAGGGGGAAGAAGGTGGTGGTCATAGCCGGCGGCCATAGTCAAAGTTGTGGAAAAGGGGAGAAGATGAGGATACTTCACTCAGAGATGCAGTTGAGAGCTGCATACTGAGAGAATAATTGAAATAGAGGTGGTATAGGTGATTGAAAGGAGGAATGTCGTGAGCTTCGTACGTGCAACGTCGACAATTTTTTGTGGTTCTTCTGAAAAGTTTTCTTGAGTGGACTAGCAAGACATTCAAGGTCAGTAGACTCGGCCTCCCTCACTGGTACCCAAAACCCACACTATGTTTGACCCTTTCTCTGAATGTTATTGGAAATGGCAGGATAGTGGGGAGGGTTTGGGTGTATGTAAATGGGGGAGACAGACAAAGAAAAAAAAAATATGTGCGGGTGTTATTTTTTTTTATGTTCTTTTTGGATGCAGGTATGTGTGTGCGATGGGGCGCAGGGTAGTGGGGAGATGATGATTGCTGGTTGTGTCTCCTAAGCCCTCGCCATTTGCATGAAAAAAAAAGGAGAAAGAACGCGAGAAGAAAGCGGCGTCGAACAAAGAAGAAAATTCCAGATGGACTTAGACTATTCCCTTAGGGAACCCATTCTTGCCCGAATGACCCCCTCTAAGTCTGATTCTCGTCCAAATGGAGCTTTTTCCTTCGCGCCCTTCTTCTTTTGTTTAAGTTACTCTAGACATCGGCGATTGAAGAGGAGGTAGTATACTTGCTGGGGTTGCATTCCCTATCTCTAGGAGGAATCTGAGGCGGGGGTTCGTTGCCTTAGGGGCCGGCCCTGTATTCGACTCGGAGTGGACCGCTTTCAGCGGGGGGGTACCATGCTGCAATGGTGGAGCCAGCCCAACTTAGATCCAGGCTTAGGCCTGGGCGAGGAGAAGGGGTATCCAAGACCACCTCTTAGGGGTTGGGCGTGTAGCCTTAGGCAGGAAAAACAGCGGACTCTTCAATCCTCGCGCAGGGGGTGACTGCTTAGCATTCCCTAGTGGTGGCCGTCTTAGGAGCCACCTACCCATGGGGAACTGGTGCCAAAGGAAGCCCAGTTCGTGTTTTAAATAGCGCCAAAGGAGTGCGAGTAGGCACTACCCACGTGGTTGGACCGTGACATAAGAATCATGGCCCAAGGGAAGAGGGATTAAGTGTAAAAGGCAATGAAACCGGTCTGACACGGTTATAACCTTATCATACAGATGCCGACGCAGGCGGTGTTCATTCGTTTGTTTAGCATGCCTGAGGCACCAATGAGTTGGACGGCGGTGCCAACGCGGTCACATGATGGCATGTTTCGGAAAGGGCGACTGGGTTATAAGTCGGCTGAGATTTTTTCAGAGCAGGACACTCCGCGATTTTGGGACGGAAGTGTAAGGAACCCACCGCGGAGTTATATTTTTGTGATAGAACAGGGACAGCGTATCATGCAATATGACTTTGCGCCCCCTGTACCGTCACGAGAATTTGGGGATATGAATCTCGTTGCGATTCACGAGACAGACCCGGTGAGAGAGAATATCTCGGAGATAAGGATGATGTTCGTTCATTTCCTGTTATGGTTGAATGAGCATCAGGGTCCTTTCAGCCTTATTCACCACGTGAGACGGGTTCGAGCGAATAGATTTGATGTCATTCGCCCTGAGCGGTTTTCCGTCGTCGACTTTAGTGATGAAGTATATGAGATTGTGGAGCAACTGCGAGACTAACGACTCCTTCGAATGTGCAGATGGCGAGCAGTCGGCGTGATCTTACTCAAGCAAGATACTTGCTGGTTCGCGACACGGCAAACGAGGAGTTGGTTCGGCGTGCGGGGCAACTTCTACTTGTTCGAGATGATACGCCGACTCGATGGATCGGTTTCATTGGCATGCTCGGAGGAGGGCAATGGTTCTTCCCTAACTCACGCACGGATGTCCGTGCCAATGTGGCCTGGCTTCCGAATGAGTTTTACGGATATACCTTATATTTTCATCGTGCGAGCAATCTCCAATGCCTTTCTCGGGTCATTGAGAGTGTCAAAATCGCCCAGTCTGGAGAGCGCCACGGCATCGTCCAGATTAAGGACACCTTAACTAGGCACCTTTTCAGGATGCGGCAGCCGTTCCGCGCCATAGTTTGGAGATTAGCCTCACAAATGGCTTCCCTCTATGGTACGCGGACGGTCCGGATTATGTGGGGCGGACGTACTACCGTTTTGACTTTTGACGATGAGAAGCTTGCGCGGCTTGATCAGATTGAGGCCGAGGCCTGCGAGGGCCGGCAACTCTTTCATGACTAGATATGCCTTTTGAGGCAGGTGCCAAGTTAAGTTGTCCTTACGTAGGGTCATCACATGACTCTACGTGAAAAAGAAAAAAAACACATTTTACATAGTCAGGACTGTCGGATGGATAGTATTCGGATTACCCCAATGATATCACTATCATGCGTCATGCATTGAGGGGTAATCAACCACATAAAGACACAAGGATGGATGAAAATAAGACATCTGGAAAATGGCAGACGAGAGAGTGAATGGGACTAAAGATGGATACTCCATCATTCGTAGAACGGAAAGAGTAATTATTACCCAGAGGACAAAGCGACTAGCAAAATATCGTTGCTCCTCCAGAACTAGTTGCATGAGATGTAAGGAAAATGTAGTTAAATAATTAAGGCTAGGAAAATCTTTCCTTAAATTTTGTTTTTAAACAAGTTGGGAATGACAATGTTAAAGCCTCCAGTCATGTAAGTTGAGGATGAAAATACTTTTGACCGACCAACTTATCAAGTCAGTGAATAAGATTGCATAATTTTGTATAGTGTTTTCTTTTTGATCACCAAGGGACCAAGGATCGATCTTCACGCTTGGTTGATCCATCCTAGTCGACCGGCGTGCGTTTCGTACTTAGGAGATCAGCGCCCTAAGGAACGAACGACCAAGCGTCTCCTATACTGCAGCGAAACGAGCAAACGCCCTCGGCTGACCTACCTCTGCAACTGCATATGAAAACTTTCACATGTGGGTCAGTAGCTCGGTAGGGATACGCCCCTAAGGGTGGTGACAACCCCTTAGGGAAGTAAGCTTATGCCCCGTGGGAACCTATCCTGTCGTAGGGGACCGCGGGATGTACCGCTGGCGCACCCGGCTAGAGCGGCGAAGGGACGATTCAACCGCTTCCGTCTTGGCGGTTCGCGGGATTATTATGCGTCGTTCCTAAGTTGTCTCTTGATTGGTTTTGTTTGGGTTGCTTGACTCCTGCGTGACATGGCCGGGAGGGCCCTCGTTCGCGTGAGGGCCGATGCGCACGACAGGTGGCGCCGTTGTCGGGGATAACGGCAAATTACCGTTATCCCTAACGGAACGACACTCGAGTGGTTGATGAAATGAAAAGTTTTTTTTCTTTGTTTGTCTGACCTTAGGAATAGTTAGTGATTTGATCCCAAAAGGAAAAGAAAGACAGGGGGAAGAGAAATTGTCTCTGAAAGGCTGACTAAGTTTTAAATGTGTTGTTATGACAAGGTCGTCCAAGATGGCTGAGGAAGCACATCATGCCCCGAACAACAGCAACAACCAGGATGATCGAAGGAATGATATCAGGGAATTGGCGAAAGTAATTCAGCAATCCCAGAAAGAGCAGTTTCCAAAGGTTGATGTTCCCCTGTTTGATGGGAATAATGTGTCGGGGTGGGCAGATAAGTTCGAACAGGCGGGGAACTGTTACGAATGGTCAGATGAAAAGATGTTGCGGATGGTGAAGAGGTACTGCAAGGTTGAGTATAGGGATGAGGTTGGAGAATTGGTACAAAATTCGCGAAGTTGGAAGGAATTCAAGGAGAAGCTATTAGAAAAGTATCAATTGGGGGATCAATTGCTAGATTTGGCTGACTTGCGAAAGATTAGTCGACGAAGCTTTGGTACGACGAAGCAATTCCTTACGGAATTTGAGCGGGTGGCGCGATTAGTCTTCGATCTTTCAGATAAGGATCGCTGTCTCATCTTCATGGATAATTTCACGGAGGTGGAACAATGAAAGTTGGTAAAAGGGATGCAGCAGCGATATGACTGGCCAAAGATACGGGAGAACTTGTTGGCAAGGAACTTTGACCAGATCCTCTGTCGTCTGCTGAAGCAGCAGAAGGAGGATCCAGAAAGAGTGCATTTAGGGGCAGATAAGGACAAAGAGGTCTACAAGACCTTAGCTGAAATGAAGGAAATGATGGCCGATATGAGAGAGGAACGGTTGAAGTTCCAAGTGTTGGCGGCCAAGGTGAGTAAAGGAAAGAGAAAGGGGAAAGAGCCTGTTGTTGAGGAGAGCAGCAGTGAGAGTGAAAGCGAGGAGGAGGAAGAGCCTCCTCGAAAGCTGACCAAGGCCGAGAGGAAGGCCTTGAATCAAATACGAGGAGGACAGGGAACGTCTCAAAAACGGGGAGAAAGTAGCAGGGATGGAGGAAATGGAAATGGGGATCGACAAGTTGGCCAGGGACAACAGAGCCAAAGTCAGCAGGCCCAGCCTCAAGGTGGTCGAGGCCATGGAAGAGGCCGCGGGAATGGTGATGGTCGAGGAAATTGGCAGGAATATGTTTGCAAATATTGTGACATGAAAGGCCACATTGTTCGTTTCTGCCAAATCCTCGCGAAAGATGAAAAGGATCAAATTGTTTTCACAACTATTCGAGGCGAAGTTTTTGACTTTGAGGGGAATCTTATTGATTCCAACATTGAAGGGGGGATGAGGAAGGAAGCCTTCCGACGGATGGGCCGTCCTTTGCCTGCCACGTTCCGACTAGCCTCGCCAGAAGAGGCCAATCTTTTTGAGTTGGAGGAGGCGATGGCTTCCTTAGAAGTCTGTGATTGCAAAGAAGAGGAATTGGAAGAAATGAAGGAAGACATTGCTCGTCGGGCCCGGGAGGTGACCAGAAGATTGGGCAAGTGTCGAGACTCTATTGTCCGACTGTGCGTTGATATGGAGGAAGTTAGACCCAATCTTCCAAACGTATTCCTCTTTGGGGGATCAAGCAGTGTGGGTCAGGATAGGTCAGCTTCTGCAAATGCTCCAACGCCAAGAGTAACATCATTGGTTCGACCAATGGTGATGTCCCGACCTTTGCTTTAGCGAGGGACAAAAGTTATAATGGTACAGACCTGAAAGGAGAGGAAAACTGCACAATCTCAGCCTGCGTCTGGCGAGAGTTCAAGGGGACCTCAGGAAAAGGAACCCATTCAGGTGGAAGACGAGGAAGATGAGGAGGATGAGAAGCTACGGGCAGAAGACGAGCAACAGGCGAGGCAAAGGGCCATGGAAAAGACCTTGGAGAAAGGGAAGGATGAGGTGGAAGTAGAGGAGCCTCGAAAGAAGAAGAATGTGTATACAATCTCGGTTGAGAAGGGGATTGATTTCGAACAACTTGTGGATCGGATCTTGGAGAGTCAACGAGACTTGGTTACTCTCAAGGAAATTTTAGTTGTTTCGTCAAAACTCCGTGAGGAGTTTAAGCAGCGTATGACCAGGAAAAGGGTCATGACAGTTAAGTTAAGTGAAATCATTCCTCCGGAGGCTAACTAGGCTCCTCCAGGGACAAAGATGGATTGGCGATGCATGGCCACGAGCCACATGAAGGTTCGAATTGGTCTGGGTGAATATTCTGCCCTTGTGGATGATGGGGCAGAGATGAATATAATGAGAGAAAGGCATGCGATTGAGGCTGGTGTACAGATCAATCGCAATGATTCCGGGTTTCTGATTGGCGCCAGTGGTGCGTCTCCGTTCTGTGGCACAGCAAGTGGAGTGATGGTCATCGTTGGGAAGGTCAAGGTGCAAGCGTACTTTTACGTATTACCGAAAGTGGAACATGAGGTGCTTCTTGGAAGATCATTCTTGTGCCGAACAGAGAGTCTCATAATCAACAAGCATGATGGCACCATGTTTGTTGCATTGTGCGACCCGGTTTGTGGATATTATGAGGTGGTGCGGTGTGAAAACACTGGACCAGAAAATTCTCGAAACCGGTTGAATCCCGAATCATTTACCTTCTCGGAATCTGAGAAGATGAGAAGGGAAAGGGAGTCAATTGAGGAAGAGGAGGATCCTCAAGAATTCTCCTTAACTTTGCCAGATATCTCGCAGGCCATTGACTTCGTATCAACACACCTTGCGATTGATCCGACTTTGGTGCAGGCCCTTACTGAGGTCGTGGCCGAAGAGAGAGGTGCGGGGACTATGCACCTTGTTTATCGGCCGAATGATTCGCATATGGAAGAGTCATTGCCATTGGCTAGGCAAACGCCCTTTTTAGAGGAAGGAGGCTCTGTGTTGGGTCAAAAAGGAAATACAAGAAAGTAGGCGAGAAAGCTCGGCCAATACCCGTTCTGATCACTCAGGAGAGATAAGTGCATTATAAGGAGGAACGGGAGTGGATCAGAACAATGAGAGAAGAGGGTGAAAGAGGACCGTGTCGGTTAACAGAGGATAGAATCAAGTAGATGATCATTGGGGAAGATGGGGTTCTTACTAAGGAAGAAACCAATTTCTTCATTGACGTCATGAAGGGAACTCATCTGGCTTATGCCTTTGATGACGATGAGCACGGAAGATTAGACGTCGATATGGTTCCAATGATCAGGATCCATACAGTACCACATCAGCCGTGGAATGTAAGGGGTCCACGATATCTGAATCCAGAAGACCATCGAAAGGTTGTTGATTATCTCGATGGAAAGATTCGGACCAAAGTGGCTGATTATTCGTATGGGCCGTATGTGTCTCCTTGGTTCTGCTTTATTAAGCCGAACGGAGTTTTGCGATGGGTTCAGGATCTGCAGAAATTAAATTATGTGACGGTTCGTGATGCGGGCGGACTTCCGAACGCAGACCAACTCTCAGAATCTTGTGCAGGCAGACCCATCATAACCCTGATCGATTTGTATTCAGGGTATGATCAGTTCCCGCTGTATACAGCAGATCGGCCTATGACGGCGATGCACACGCCTCGAGAACTGCTTCATATGTGCGCGGCACCACAAGGTTGGACGAATGTCATAGCAATCGTACAGAGATATATGATGAGGGTCATGCAACCGCTTTGTCCGGACGTGAACTCTCCATATATTGATGATTTGGCCATCCCCGGACCTCGTGTCAAAGATGAGACTGAAGTGTTACCCGGCATTCGAAAGTTCGTATGGGAACACATTAAGAATGTGGAAAAGGTCCGGAGAAAATTGAAGGAGTATAACCTCACAGCAAGTGGGGTGAAATCGAGGCATGGAATGAGGAAAGCGGTAATTTTGGGATTTCTTTGTGATGAAAAGGGTCGTCAACCAGATGCTAAGAAAACCAACAAAATCTTGGAATGGCCGACTCCCTTGAAATCTGTTACCGACGTCCGGAGCTTCCTTGGAACTTGCGGATTTTGGCGTATTTTTATCCGCAGGTTCGCAACGAGGGTGGAACATTTGCGGAAATTAGTACGCAAAAATCAGATGTGGGAATGGGGAGCAAGGCAGCAAGCGGCTGTAGAGGATATTAAGGCTGAGTTCGGAGAAGGCGGCCTGATTTTGGGAGTTCCTTATTTTGATGATGAGGTGCGGCGCCCTTTCGTCATCGAGACTGATGCAGGTCCCATAGCCTTGGGTGGGGTCCTGATTCAGAAAGATGAGGAAGGACGAGAGCGACCTTTGAGATTTGAAAGTAGAACTTTGAATGCCGTTGAACGCAACTACTCCCAATTCAAAAAGGAAACTCTCGTTGTACTTCACTGTCTACGTATTGTTAGAAATTATGTGTTTGACCGACGATTTATTCTTCGAGTTGATCCCACAGCTCTGGCTCAATCGTTGAAGAACTACTCTCCTTCTGATCCAACCATCGCTCGATGGCTGATATATATTTGGATGTTCAATTTCGAAATTGAACGTATCTCAGGTACTCAGAATCGGGCAGATGGATTGAGTCGTATTGATTGGGATTCATCGACTGATCAGGCTGAAGATTCAGTCCCTGTTGATGGGTTCTTGGAAGGAGAGGAGTTGCAATTGAGTATTAACTCATACAACTATTTGGAGGATGCAACAACCCGTCATGGGAAAACCATTTGGAATGCTCCCAGTTTCCATCATGTACGATCAGAGTTAGTGATGGGGGAGCCTTTCATTGAGGAAGACCCATGGGGTGAAAGAACTTCAGAGCAAATGATGAGCTTGGCTTTATCTGATAGAGTCGAGCTTATCAATGAGCCACTGACGATTGAGCATGGATATGAGAGGACTAATGAAATTTTTAACGTTGTTGGGAGGTTGTCTTTCCTTGTAAATTTCTTGATTCATGAAGACCGTCTGAGAATGCTAAATGAAGAAGGAGAAAGCAGTGAAGTTAAGGAAGCTTTCAGAGAAAGGGAATATGACGGGGAATATAAATTGATGGGAATGTGGTTGAATGGTGAGTTGAGAGAAGAAGAGGTGGATCCAATTGTTCGACAGAAGTGTGAGGATTTTATCGTACGATATGATCATCTTTTTAAGAAATCCAATGATGGTATTCCAAAGAGAGTAGTATGTGGGATTGCACGGCAGCTTGATGTGATTGCCGTCTTGCATGATGGGGTCGCAGGCGGACATAGATCAGTGCGAGTCACCTTGAAAAAGATTCAGCATCTTTACTTTTGGGAAGGAATGAGCAAGATGGTAATTGACTTTTGTAAATTTTGCCTTCCTTGCCAAAGACGATCTAATTTACGTTTTGTTGAACCCCTTAATCCACGCTATGTAGCGGAGCCCGGAGCAGTCGTACATCTTGATTTACTGGTTATGCCGTCAGGCATTAATAGGTACATATATATCTTTGATGCAAGAGACAACCTGGGTTCGTTGATGGTTGTGCCATTCGCGAACGTACTGGGCAGGTTTTGGCCGAATGCATTGAAGAATATTATCTTCGATACCCATTCATCCGGGAGTTTGTCATGGACCGAGGCGGTGAGTTTCGGGCTAGGGAAGTGCAGACACTTTTGAAAAAGCTTGGTGTGAATTTTAGCTATACTACAAGAGCACATCCCCAGGCTAATGCGCCAATCGAGCGTGGACATGCTACTCTGACGAATTTATTAGCAAAATGGTGTGCAGATGATCCATCGAGATGACTTATATATCTGAGAACGACATTCTTTGTTGAGAATGTCACTATTAAGCGAACAACTGGATATGCACCGGTCACCTTATGGTTTGGACGACATGCAACCTTTCCAATTGAAAGTTTCTTAACCACTTGGCGGAAGCAGGATGTGGAAATGAAATTTTCAACAGAAGAGTTGTTAGAATTAAGGGCAAGGCAGGTGATGGTGACCGAAGAGAGGGTTGAGGAAGCCGCTACTTCTACAGCAGAAAGCAGGCAGGTAGACAAGGAAAGATGGGATAAAGGGCCTCGTGTTCGTAAGCAACCTTTGGAAGTTGGAGATATTGTGCTTCTTTATGATTCGTCCTTGGAGAAACAGTGGTCTCACAAATTAGATAGTCGATGGTTGGGGCCCTATCGTATTGTTAGAAAGTCTGAGCATGGGGCTTATGAGATCGAGGAATTGGATGGGGCTCGAGGTCGAAATTGGGTATCGGGATCACATCTGAGGAAGTTCAGTCCAGGTTGAAATTGGGTATCGGGATCACATCTGAGGAAGTTCATTCCAAGGGTTTAATAAAGGGATTTGTTTTAGTTGATATAAACCTTGCTAAAAGGTGGTAAGAGACATGACTTTTTTTCTCTTAATTCTTTTCATATTTGGGATCATTAATGACTGACTTGTATCTAAGGTCGGATAAGGGAGAGGAAGTAACTTGAACTTTGGGATTGGATTTGGTTTTCTGTTTTATAATAATTAATAATTTCCTGCGACTTCTGTTCGTAGAATTGTTGTGAGATTTTTTTCGAATGGCTTGATGATCTTTCGACTTCTAGTTTTGAATGGTTGTATATCACATTTTTGATAAAATGCAATGCAATGCAATTTATGGATGTTTTGACTGGAATGTTATGGAACTCTCTATAAAAATATATGTTATTGTTGTGAAAGGTTCTAGGATAAAAATATGTAATTTGAATTATATGACTTATAGGGTAACACTATGTGTTATTCGTGAAGACATATACCGCAATTACTTATCGTGGCCTAAAACCTTCTTGTAATGTTAGTTCAGTTATCAT